TACCAAGATATGTCGAATTTCCAGAGTTGATTTTGAACTCTACCCCCCAATTCATTAAGATTTAAAATCAAGTTTTGTATAGCCTTAAGTATTTTTACCTCTTGATTAGCAAAATTCGTCCTGGTCGTGTGTGAGTGAAAGCGGTAGATCAAACACATTGCTTTTTGATATTAGAAGAAAGTAATCAAATATGATATAGGAACTTCTAATTTCAAATACTGACGTACTTTCCAAAATTATTATTTTATTTAATATATATATAACGGCGGGTAGTCCGAAGGGGCTATTACGAAGCCCAAATAGATTGTCCATATCGGAGAACTATCTTTAAAATAACACTGCAGGCGTGTATACTAACGTGGATTTGTTCCATTTTATCACTTTTCACACGAAAATATAACGAGATGAGCGTGATGTCGTCAGATGTCTTTACTCCTCGGCGATCAGAAACAGAATGTGTGCCAAAATGGCGGCAACTTGGTTTTTATAAACGAACTGTCAAAGTGAGCGTCACCATTCTAATGAAATTAAAAGTATCGATGATCACGCTCTCTTTACAATCGAGTAATTAAGTAATCGAGTAACTAGCCATTAAAATAAAAGAAACTAAATCAAACGATCTTCGTAATGATGATGCGACATATATAAAGTTTGCTTAGCTTATTTCAAACTTTATACGTATATAAAGTATATACATATAAAGTTTGAAATAAGCTAAGTGTGAGCTGGACAATTGAAAATTTACGGTTTCCCTTGTTTTAGTAATCCGTATTAGAGACACTATTTCACATTCAAATACTTTCGTCTATTCCTGAATTTTATAGAACGATCCAAAATATTCCAGAACACTCTAGAATCATAGAATACTGGAATAATCACTCTCGAATCAAAATATGTTTTTCAATTTAAATTTATTTCAAAATTGGTTCTAATGATAAAATAGTAAATTTAAATAAAGAATAAATTTATGTAAAATTAGATCATACCACTGTAATACTTTTTTAGTACACAACTATAAATCCTTTGATTTGGATTTACAATTTAAATTCCATCGTAAATTTAATACCGTGATAAACTAATCTAAATTCACTAGTTGGCCACGTTGTCTAAATATTTGAATAATTTGATTTCTCTTTGTCGGTTGTGGGGGCGAGCGAAAGGGCATAATTAGGAAGGACACTATGCCAGCCTTGGAGCCGACGTTACGGTTAATAACGTGAAAGCGTGAAGTAGAATATAGAATACGCTTAGTTGTAATGGGTAAACTCACAAACTTTATGGAGTTTTTGTAAAACGAAAGAATTTATAGCTAGAAGTTGCAGCTATTAAGCTTTGCCAAACCTATACTAATCTGTATTTATACATATATAAAAGATTTCCTGACATACTGACTGACATACAATGCACAGCCTAAACCGTTGGTCGTATCGACTTGAAATTTGGAGAGGACATTCCTCTTATTATGTAGAGGTGTAATAAGACCGGCTTTTTCGAAATTCCACGCCGAAAGGGGTCAAAAAAGGTAAAAACGTTTTAATTAAACTTCTTTGTTTTTGGACCTATATCAATGAAAATTGGTATTTGGGTAGTTATAGACGTTAGGAAGAAAAATGCTATATTTTATCACGAAAATTAACACTTAAATGCATGAAAATGGGAGTGAAAATTTAATGGGGAATCAAAATGTTACCATAGCTACCATCATTTACAATTGGATTTGTCATTGTAATAAATCTATCTAATATTAGGGGTTAAAGTATAATATTGCCGTTTTATTGTAATAGGTTCCTTAAATTGACATAGACTCTTCATGGTTTGAGATTTTCGATAGAAACTTTTTCACATGGTTTCTATGATGTTCTAAAAAATGTGAAACATTTGAATATCGACTTGAAGAATTGAAATTCTTTTTGTTATTCAACTCAGACAAGAAAGTTGGATACTGCAAAAATTCGAATGATTTTTGAATACGAGTTCCGACGCGGAAGTAACGCGGCAGAAACAGCCCGCAACATCAATGTTGCGTTTGGATAGCGGTCTGCTAATGAATGCACCTTGCGATTTTGGTTTAAACGCTTTCGTGATGGAAACTTCGACTTGAAGTACGAGCCACTAGGAAGACTGCCCACACAGGTGAATAACGACGAATTAAGAGAGATGGTGGAAGCCGATACCCAGGAATTAGCGGCATGGTTTATCGTTACCTTACCCACAATATTGACTAAATTGCGTCAAACAGTGTCCTAAAGCAAAATGGTGATCTCAGCATGGTGTTATTCACTATAGTTTTCTCTGATCTGGTCAAGCAATAACGGCAGATGTCTATTGTGCCGAACTCCGAACAATGTTGGCAAAACTAGCAGTAAAACAGCCTCAACTCATGAATCGATCTGCAGCATTATTGCTCCATGACAACGCGAGACCAGACAGCACGAGAAACCGTTTTGACCCTTCATAAACATAATAAATAAACATCTGTGAAATTAAAGGTCGACAAACCAATAGTAATTTATATATTTCTTTGTCTATTTATTTTGGTATTTATTTCGTATTTGGTAGTCTCTTATTATATAATAAACGACAAAAAGAACCGTTTCATTATTCCATACTAATATTATATAGCGTAAGTAGGTCTACGTATATGTCTGTTAAGCTCACGCGCCTAATCTATAAAAATAGTTGACTTGGTATAGGACATAGGTGCTTTTTATTGTGATAAAAAGTTTGAAATAGAGATTAAAAGTTTGCAAAGAAGTTTGTCATTGTTAAAGATAAAATCGTGAAACTATATACAGGCATGAATAATATTTGTTTTAGCTTTTTAAGAAATGAAAGAGCTTTTGCTCGCGACTTCGTCCGCGTAATTATTATGTACACACGGCTACACGTTAGACTACACATTACGGATTTTGTAACGACCGCACTATGTATACCACCATAGAACTTCCCTACTAACAGAGGTCTGCTTACGGTGGTGGTTGTGGCTTGACGTGCGACCGTGTATACAAGATTTTCAAATTGTAATTTGATTTTCAAAGTCCTCAAGTTTTACAGAATACGAAATATGGATCTTATCGTGGATTCAGCTTGCCGATGTTCAAAATGCTTTACAGAATCTCACGGCTGATTGATCGCATATTACAAAAATTACAACAGCCTCAAAAACTGATGGTGCCTGAAGCCTCAAAAACCAAAAACGTGTCTAAAGACGTTATATTATAAATTTATAACCGTGGGAGAGCCACGCTTCGGCATGAATGGGCTGGCTCGATCGGAGTGATACCACGGCCTCACAGAAAACCTACGTGAAGTAACGCTTGCGTTGTGTTTCGTCGTGTGAGTGAGGGTACCGGAGGCCCAACCCCTCCCTATCCCTTCCCTCTACCCCTCAACCCTTCCCTCTAAGGCCGGCAGCGCGCTTGTAGCCTCTCTGGTGTTGCAGGTGTCCATGGGCGACGGTAATCACTTACCATCAGGTGATCCGTCTGCTCGTCTGCCCCCTATCCCATAAAGAAAAAAAAAGTCTTTCCATCCGTAGCGTGAAACTCTGTAATATATTTTATAATTTTTCGCAATAAAAACTATCCTTTGTCCTTTCCCAAGGTCCACTGAGCGTGTAAACGTAACTGCCTTACACAGTTATTTTCACTTCATAATTATTTTCATGAATTAATTTTACTGGAAACAAAACCAAGACCATTCGTATATAATAAAAAAAGTATAATCACCACCACCAGCCCTTTTACGTCCCCACTGCAGGGGCTCAGGCCTTCCTTATGGATGGTTAAGGAGGATGGGCCATGACCCTCCACGCTGGCCCAATGCGGATTGGAGGGTATTAACGACTGCAAATGCAGCCGGGACCAACGGCTTAACGTGCCTTCCGAAGCACGGAGTAGCTCGAGATAATAATTTTTTGGTCACCCATCCCATGACCGACCCTTGCGAAAGTTGCTTAACGACTACGATCGCGGGCCGCGGCACTTATCCACTACGCCACCGAGCTACGCTTATAATTTACTATAGATCAATGATCTATCGTTATTAAATCATTTCTTAGTAAAATCTCCCAGAAACAATGTAAATTATTCTCAAAAGAAAACTTTCATTAGCTCTGCTATCATGTATTTCGTAACCTTCAAGAGCAGCGTAACTTATATGAATATGAATGTAAAGGCAGTGTCTGATAAATAAATTATACGGTTATTAAAAACACATGAATAATTCATGAACACAATGAGTTTGAATACAACTAGAATGAAAGGCCGGTAGGTACTCAGTTCGCTTAAATATTTATTAAGAGAGTCTGTACGAGGAAATGGGATTGTTAATTAAATCCTAGAAATAACACGGCCATTTGGTCATTCCAATGTTGGTGAAAGAAAATGAATCGACAAAAATATTTATTTATGACAAAGCATAAAGGACATTCCTTAAAATAATTATTTTACGTTCAATATTTTTACTTCGTCTTCAATGAAGTTGGAATGTCAGTATGCCAATTTTTTTAAGCATTCAATTGACGCTGTTAAGATTCTGATTCGATTTTAACAACGCAAGTATGACGTGGTATTCAAATTATTTTGCGCTTGTTATAAAATATATATTTAATGAATTTAATTCGGTTGTTTGAATTTAGTTGTTTATTTGTTTAACTTACGAATTGATAGGAGTTTTTTGCTATAACAAAATAAAGAGGAAAGTTGTATTTAATGGACTTTAAAAATGATTACTCTTATAAACGATTGTATTTGAAAACAAAATATAAAACTCAATAAATTTTTGTATTACCAACAACAGCTTCTACCAGTATATAAAAGGCCAAGCTTTTTAGGGCCTAAATATTGAATATGAAAAATCTCAATAAATAATTATTGAGATCAAAGATTTCACAGAGCCATAACTGTACATCTTCACCGAAACGGCCGAAAAAAGAATAGTGATGCGAAACCCGCTTGGGACAAGCTATGCTATTGGTTTACACCACAAACTTTATAACTTTAGGCATAAACACATTGATACAGCTGGTCTTTCAAGTCTGTTACAGCATCGTCCGTACTTCGCTTAACCTTATTACCGCATACAGTCAGTTTCTCATGTGACTGTTCATTGTGGCGCCGCGCGTTTGTCAGACTGAGATCCAACTCGTAGCCCAGCTTTACTGCCGCCGTTGATAACTCCTTGATACAAGCTGTAACTTCGATTCTGTAAATATAAATTTTGAAATATTACGTATACAAAATGCTGTCTATATTTTTACCAGATTCATCAGAAAGAACTGAACACCATGACTTTAAATAAGTCATTCGCTAAATTTGACGTTCTTAACTCATTCCACACATGCTCGTCAGTTTCTATAGATTCTGATATTATCTTCTAATAACACTGATATATTTGATCGCGAATTTCGTTATTCTTTCATTTGACCAACAATTTTTAATTATGACATTGAGTGACTGCACCAGAAGTTTAATTGCCTTTCATTTATAATCGAGCAAATTTTAGTTATTTTATTGATCACATAATTTATTGGTTTTATTAATGATCCTTAAATCCAAAAATAGTGAACATTTAAATGTCAACAAAGTTGACAATCAAAAAATACGGTGATACGAAAGAGATGTCAAAATTACTCCTTAGGGATAAATATTCATTGATAACATACTCTTGTGAACCTCTACTCCGTTGCACTTTGGCTGCTAAAGATTTAGTTGCATCTTCTAATGAGTTTTGCATGTGATTCTTCGTGATGGCGATCATTTCTCCTGCGTATTTGCCCATCTTTGCAATAGAAGCCCTTGCTCCTTCTGTACAACTGTAAATCTGTGCAACATGCCTGCTGGCCAGGGTGCGAGCTTGACGACGCTCTTCATCACACATTGCTGTAAAGGTAATTTCAAATATCTTTCAGTTTTTCTATTTAATCTGTCTTGTATTCACAATACGGTAGTGAAATTTTTCTTTAAAATAATTATTTTTTGTTTTATTTTTTTCATAATAAATAAAACAAAAAATAATTGTAGGTACCTACATCATTGTAGGTAGGGTTTTGAATTAATGGTTTTATTTTCTTTCCGATGCTATAAAAGTAACGTTATAATGTAATTTATAAAAAATTGTTTAAGGTTCTTTAATAAGGTAAGGTAATTTGCCTAAATTCAAAAAATGGTTCCATGGTTGATTTTTAATTTCATCGAATAAGATAAAAAATAAAATAAAATTATTGAGTAATCATCATCTGATGATAATGATAATGGTGATGATAGGCTAATGCCTATCAGTATTTCTACTCTAGCGACACATGCCTTCAAATATGGAGAATGTACCATAATAACCTTAATTAAATAAGTTTAACGTACCCATCCCATTATTAATCCTTGCGAAAATTGCTTAATCTACATATTGCAGACCTAACGCGCTAACCACTACAACATCAAGCTTTCCATAGATACATTAATAATATGTTAAAAGCGCAAATTTTTTTTGAGAATATTGTAATTTATACTAATGCCACCCCTCTCGATGAAACGAACGAATACGTCGTGCAATTCATCCAAATATTTTATGCATACCTATTGATTATTACCATTTTGTGAAACGTAGTTAAATTCCTTATGCGAATTCAAATGTTAAAATATGTTAATCGAAAAAACGAAACTCAAAGGCAGCAATATTGAATCAATTTTAAATAAAAAATCGCTACTCTTTCCCCATAATTTAACAGTTCTCACCTGGTACTTTTAATTCCTCTGCTAAGTCAATCAATTCCTTGTAAATTTGATTCTTTTTCTGAACTGCATTGTTAATATCATCTTTTATCCTCCTCAGTATTTTACTAGTCATCTGCTGGTAAGAATTCTGAATATTCCTAAGGTATGTGTCTAGGAATGGTGCCAATACAGTATCCATATATCGAGAGAGTTGGCTGAAATTATAAAGATCAAGTATGCTATTATAGGTAACGAAATATTTTAATTTTAAGTTAATGAAAGAAGAGTTACAATAATATGAGAAATTTGAACGTATTGTAGTGGTTGAGCTAATCTGGCAGCAAGTTATCTATGTTTCATGTCGTCATATACTTTTCTGTGACATAGAAACGCCTTTTGGTAGTAGTATCGCACACTCGCCATCTTTCTTGCTCTAGCAAATAGCTGTTCTGAGAGACAGAAAACAATAAATATTGGAAAAGGCTATTGCCTTCTACTGTCAAATGTAATTCGAATCCATAGGTCTGTAGTAACTCGCTTAGTCACTCAGTAAGCATAAGGTCACAGGTGCAAATCTAATTTCGAGCACTCGGTAACGTTTATTTTGAAAGTGTAATTTCATCATTGTCTGGAAAATTAACGAACAATAATAATATATAGGTATATAACCTATTAACTAAAGCTACTTGTGATGGCCTTATTTGGCGCCTCGACGAACAAGTGTTTCTAAATTTATCCTTCAGGCTAATAAGGTGTTTGTCCAACTCCACAGGAAGATGCTGCCACGGTGGTATCTCGAAGCACATGCCTCCATCGCGGCGAACATGATTGCTATGATCCTGGAATTAATAATAGGTAATTAGTCTCAAACTGAAACAAAAATGTTAAGAACTTTTAAAAATAAACAAAATGTCAAATATAAACAACAGTGGTCTGATCTTCGTAGTAATCTGATAGCGAAAACCCGTAAAAGGCGAAAGTGGGAATGGATTATTTTGCAACCAATCTCGGAAAACGTTCTTTTACTTTTTATGACATTTGAACATTCAAGCATTTCCGTACAATGTCGGCAAAAACTTAAGTATTTTTTCTCTCGAAGGGATCAAAAGACTTTATCAGGATAGTTATTAACGTCGGAAACAACAGAAGCTTACAATTTTATATCTACTAATATTATAAAGAGGAAAGTTTGAATTGTTTGTTTGCATCCAACAGGTTTCGAAACTACTGGACTGGTTTTAATAATTCTTTCACCTACTGTAAGCTTCATCATATACGGTTGACATCTGCTATAATTTCAGTGCAAACTCGTGGGAAAAACGCTAGTTATACATATACACGCAATACCACTTTCCTATGTTATAACGAAAGGTTGAAAATTGGGCCGTTTGTAGTAGCCTAAAGTATACCATCAGCTCTTTTACGTCCCCACTGCAGGGGCTCAGGCCTTCCTTATGGATGGTTAAGGAGGATGGGCCATAACCCTCCACGCTGGTCCAATGCGAATTGGAGGGTATTAACGACTGCAAATTCAGCCGGGACCAACGGCTTAACGTGCCTTCCGAAGCACGGAGTAACTCGAGATAATAATTTTTTGGTCACCCATCCCGTGACCGACCCTTGCGAAAATTGCTTAACGACAACGAATGCGGGCCGCGGCGGCGCTGTCAACTATAAATTAACCAGACTCACCCTACATTCAGTTGCTTCACTAGAAATAACCTCGCAAAAACAAATCGCGAATGCTAATATTTTAATCAGAAACATAGCTTATCATCTAAGTGAACATTTTCCCCCGATATGAATTATATTTCGCTGTTTTACAGCCCACTCAATTAAATGTTTCATTGAAAGAAAAATTGTTTCATTTCATAACGGTAACAAACTGGCTTTTGCGTAATGAAACGCGCGCTCAATTAAGAATAAATCTGCAGCGTGAAATTAATGTTATCGTGCATTATAACGTTCAGAAATTATTTACCCTTTTATTAAACATTACAATGTTATTATAATTGTTGTTTTTTCTATAACATTCTATAGACTCAGCCGTTTTTTTTAGTTTACTTAGTAAATTAATAAGGAATTTAAAATGAATTAAATAGTTGAGTAAGGGATCATAAATAGCATGAGTTCGGAACAAAACATAGAATTATATCGTATCGTCAATCAAAATTTGAAAAACAAATAAATAGATATTAGATAGGTAAAGTCACACGCATTAGTAGCTAGAGCCAAAAATTTACGGATGATCGGAAACAACGAAAGTACTACAACACCTAGACTCGAGACAATACAAAAAGTTTCATATTCTACATTTATCCGAACGGGAATCAAACCCGGGACCTGAAAGACGTGACAGCTAAAAATATTATGGAATTTGTCGCCCCCGTTTTTTCTGCGCAGATAATCTTTATGTACATATGTCTGTGGGGCAGCATGCAAAAAAATCAGCCAATTGCGAGACCGACCCGCGCTCAAAGGGCTTAGTCCAATAGCTATGAAATCGGCCAAAAATCATGTATGTTGTATGGGAGCTGCCTTGAATATTATTTTTATTGTGTTTTTTAGTATTTTGTGTAATAGTAGCAGCAGAAAAACATCGTCTGTGAAAATTCCAACTGCCTAACTATAACGGTTCATGAGACAGACGGACGGGCAGTAGTACCCAATAGGTAAAACGGAGTAAAATTACCAATTTAAAAGAGTTTTATTAATGATAGCAATTTTAATAAAGACAATTTTAACATTTACTTTAATAAATATATTCTTTAAAAAATTTATACAAAACTAATTCACCGTATACAATACATTAATAATTTAATCAACCAAGCCACTCAAATAGATATTACAACGCGGTATCAAATTTAATCAATGAGTATGTATACAATAACGCGCACTACTGCCTGAACAAATTTTCAGGCAATAATTAATTCAGCTAATGTCGCCGCTACAGCGCCTTACCACTTAACGCTGAAAACGCTTCATTTTACTTTTAAAGTGAGACATTGTTTATACACTGATACGCTGTTCTTGAGTGAATCATGACCACTTATAAATTTTACGATGAAATTAATTCAGGTACCTAATTTTAAAGTTTTTAATTGCGAATACAGTTAGTTGAATTAAGAATCTTGATGTCCTGGTGGTTGACGGGTTTGGTCTGCAATGACGAAATTAAGCAACTTTTCTCAAGGGCCTGTGATTGGATGGGTGACAAAAACTTTATCATCTCGAGCTTCTCCTTGCTCCGATAGGTACTTTAAGCCATCGGTCCCGGCTACATTTACAGCCGTAAATACCCATCAAACAGACTGGACACACTCGGTAGGTCATGGCATTTTCTCTCTATTCAATTCCATCCGTATGAAAAGTCAACCTCAACAATGGGGACTTGAATTAGAACAAAAATGTAATATAAATAAACAGCATTTCTTTCTTTCTTTGAATTTTCAAATATACCTTAACGCAGCGTGGTCTCAGGCTAATTACTTTTGACTGTAACTTTATAGGTTTCTTTCATTCTCTTCTTGTCAATAAAAATAGTAAACGAAAACGGCTACGCTATACTGTTAAAAATATACTGTTATAAAAATATACTGCTATACTGTTAAAAAACATTCTTCAATTTAACGCCGAGTTCTGCACTGTCACGTCATAGAGCTTCAATGAAATAAAACCTTTTGAAGTAGGTATTATTTTTATCCCCAATAGATAGGTAAGGACAGGCAATTGTATAATAGCGCATATTCTGTCTTGACAGGAGACAGCCTGGTAGGTTCGCGCGCTTACCAACCATGGCACGTCCCTTGTCCTGTCTAGGGGGTAGGGTTCAAGTGTGTCTGAGTCATACCCCCAACGCGCAGTGGGATCTGCCATGCAAAGAGCCGAAATGTTGGCAAAGCACGCGGTAAGAAGCCTCGGCATCGTACCCCACAGTGAGGGACATCAGAAGGTTTTAGTGGGTTTAAATGACAAATAATTAACTTACTTGTATAAACAAGACCCATGATTCAATATAAAGAAACCTTTTCAAATTCTTTTATTGTTCTCGAGTAAATACAGTCTGTTAAAACATTTTCTTTTTGGAATGAATCGCACGTTACGATATGAAACGCAATAAAAATATTTTGCCATAGTAAATTTGACTCGGTATATTTGATTTGAATATAAATTGTTAAAAGGAGAAATATACCTTATTACTATGTGACAAAAACTGCTTTTTCTTTAAAAGCCACTATGAAATAAGTATGACTTTATTCATCGTCATACCGAGACGTGGATGCAGTTTGCTAACAATTTTTATGTAATATCTCATTTGACAAGTCAGTGATGTATTTCAGTATGCAGCTAAGTGTCTAAAGGGAGAATTGAAATTATTATAATAAATAGCGAGATGTATGTATATGGCAGACTGATAAAACGACCTCTAAATGCATTTAAAAGTAGTTAATACGAGTGTAAACCTGCCAAGAGCGAGTCACATTCGCGCACCAAGTATTCCGCAAATATATTAAATTTTAAGTCATAAAATTCGAATAGGTTTTTCTGCCATCTGTAACTAAAGAACCATGTATTGTATTTTTTTTAACCTATCACTTTACTGTAAAACAATTGCCATGAACAGCACTGAGCAATGTAAGTAATGTGATCTAATATTCATTTATCGAATTTAATATCACAATTCGGCTAATTCGTAACTCGCATATTATTTGAATTATCATCATCAGCCCTTTTATATCCTCACTGCAGAGGCTCAGGCCTTCATAAGTAATTAAAATCCATAAGTAAGCCATCCGTCTAAGAGAGATGGGCTATAACTCTCCACGCCGGCCCAATGCGGATTGGTCGGTAATAACCACTGCTAATGCAGCTGGGAGCAACGGCTCAATATGCCTTCCGAAGCACGTCGTAGCTTAAGATACTATTTTTTGGTCACCCATCCCGTGACAAACGCTTTTGAAAGTTTTCTAATAACGACGATCGCGAACCGCGTCGCTAATACGAGCTACTATTGTATGAATGATCAGTGTAAAGAAATTCACTTTTTAACTCCAATAATTACAAGAGACAATAAAATGCTTTCTATTGCGTAATACCCAGCCCCGTATTCTTAATAAAACACTTCTTTCACATGGAGGGTCAAAGATAACAAACACATTTTACTGGGTATAGAAGAAATCCTTTTCTTTGAATTACGTAGACAACGTTTCGCACTATCCGACTATATGAGATTAACTCAACTTACGCCAAAGTCACACCATATATCAATCCAAACCTAATTATGTATAAATATCAGTGTTTGAATCAGGCAATAAATTCAATAGAGCTAAGAAAGGCCAGAAAGCAATTTCCCCGACGTTATCACATAAATTGAAGCTCTTGTATGGAAAAATCTTGTTGGAGGACTTTCCCAATAAAATTGGAATTATTATTATTTTCCCCCAAATCGTTTCCCTTTTATAAAAGATGATTCTAACCGTTTTGATTTGAACTCCCGGGGGATTCTGATAGAGATTCAGAGTTACTATTATTATTAGGAAATAATAATATTTATTGTAAAGTGTGAAATAAAGAAATATTTGTTGAAATAAATATTATTGTTATTATCGCGAAAAATATTTATTTAACTTTATCTTTTTCAAATTGAAGCTATTAAGGTACCTAATACATAACTATAATAAACTATTTGGCCAGCAAATTAATATAATATAGCATAGTTTGAATCAAAATATCCCTTTAACTCCATGGAAAAACAATTGTGGTACACCATGAAAAACCAATTTGTTTGCGCGCACTTTATCTCAGCTAACGAAATCAATAACGACCAGAGAGCAAAATGCGTTATTTGTTTTTTTTATTTCTAGCTTGCTCGGATTGTACACCAACCACAACGAAGTGAAAGATAATGTAATAGTAGGAATTTTTAAAATATATGGAAGAAATAGAACTCGTGTCAACTATGTGACATCAAAGTAACTTAATATTATGAACTCATTAATAAATTATCTATTTTATATTATCACAAGTACTTAACAGCATGCTTTGTAACTCAAGCGTGTTATGACACTGTTTAAACAGCGGCAGCATTGTCAATTAATCTATCTTGGACAGGTAGACGTTCTAAACAGTTTATAATGTAATTCTGCATGCCATCTCCCTTTATCTATATCATAAGAAATACGCGAGAGCATTATAAATACAGTTCAGAAATTAAATTTAAACATATTCTTAGAGTAGGTACGGATCGGGATAACTTTTTTGTTTACAATTCTACTTATCTACTGTTAATAATTTGTCATAATTCTCAATGCTTCTTCTGTTATACCACGCTCTTTAGAATTGTCTATTAACTGTTTCTTAAACTTCCGCGCGCAATATTCATTTAATGAAAGAAGTTATAAGAACGTGCTTCACGGTCCGTTCAAAAGTTATATCAAACAAATTATTTATTATCTATTCGCTAATAAATCTACTAGTTTTAGAGTCTGTATAAGTCTTGATGCCTGAAAAACGAAAATTTTGAAGCAAGTTTAGTTAGCTCTACTTTTATCGTATCAAACGAAATAAAATAACGATTAACACACCCAAAGACTTTAAAACTACTACGAACAGCTTCTTTAAGCTGTTCGTTACTGAAAATTCCTCACGAAAGATTCTTTAGAGATCTTCTGTTAAAAATACAGTTCCGTCGCAGCAAAAGGTTCAATCAAATAAAACCTACTATAAAGGGTAATAAAGGTTTTACGCATTTGAACCTCTGATTCTGTCCGTAACAGCGTTGAATTCGACTCTGTATTTGTAACAGGATAGTAATTTGTTTATTTATAAATACTCTAACAGTTGACGAGAACAATCAGAATGGAACGCACCGAAGAAGTGAAAGAAAGAAATTTAAACACCGTATACGCACCGAATTGTCTAAATTCTATTGTCAGCTGTCAATTATTTTTAAGCGTAAAAAAATAATTTCGTCCTACTCCTTCAACACTGTTACGC